TTTTAATTTTTCGTTTCTTTAATTTTTGAATTGCAATTTTTCTAGTATTCATTTTAAATATGTAATAATAATTATAATAAAATAAAAAGTTCACTTTTTCAATTTTACGATTTTAGAATTTTTGTACTATTAAATTATTGGACTTCAAATTTTAATTATGGTATTTTTCAGATTTGATTCTTCAGTTTTTCGATTTTCAATTTTTCGAATTCTCAATTTTCCGATATTTCTGTTTCGCAATTTTTCAATTTTTCGTGTTTTAAATTTTTCAATTTTTGGCGCCTTTCCTAATTTTCGATACCACGACTTGCCGATTTCTCTTTTTTTGATTTTGCAACTTTTTAGATTTTTCAATTTCTTGATTAATTGCTCTTTCGTGTTTCTCAATTTTTCAACTTTTTGATTCCTCCATTCCTCAAATTTTCGATTTCCCATCTTTTTCTTTTTTTAATGCTTCAGTTTTTCGATTTTCCAATTTCCCAAATTTCCCAATTTTCGATTTCTCGATTCTTCGATATTTCAGTTTTGGGATTTTTAATTTCGATTTTTTAATTTTCAATTTTTCGATTTTTACTTTTTGATTTTTCGATTTTCTGATGTTTCAATCCATCAATTTTTCATTCGTTTGTTTTTCGATATTTTAATTTTTCGAATTTTCGATTTGTCAATTTTTCCAATTTTTGAATTTCAATGTTTTAATTTCTTCGTGTTTCAGTTCCTGGTTCTTTCGATTTTTCGATATTTGATTTTGTAATTTTTTGGTTTTTAAAATTTTTGAATTTTCGAGTTTTCCAATTTTCAGTTCTTAAAATTTTTCAGGTTTATCAATTTTTCAGTTGTTGGATTTCTCGATTTATAAATATGTATTTCGATGTTTCGATTTTTCGATTCTTAATTTCCCGACTTTCGATATTTTAGTTTTACGATTTCTCAATTTTTTGAGAATTCATTGGGAATTTTTCAATTTCTCGATTTCCTGTTGCTATGCTTTTTCAATTTTTCGATTTTTCAATATTTGGATTTCCTAAATTTTACATTTTTCGATTTTTCAATATGTTATTTCAATTTTACAAGTTTTCGATGTTCCGATTTCCAGATTTTTAATTTTTTAATATTTCAATTTTTCGATTTTTCGAGATGTAGGTTTTTCGATTTTTTAAATTTTTCGACTTTTTGAGTTTCGGATTTCTCAATTTTTTCAACTTTTCGATTTTTTAATTTTAGATTTTTGGATTTTTCGGCTTTTCTGATATCGATTTGTGCGTTTTTCAATTTTTCGTTTTTTGATATTTCGATTTCTCGATTTTTTCAATCTTCCTATCCTTCAATTTTTCAATTTTTTAAATTTTAGATCTTTGGATTTTTTGATGTTTCGGTTTCTTGTTCTTTCGATTTTCGACATTTCGATTTGTCGGTTTTAGATTTTTAAATTTTGTGATTTTAAAAATTTTTGACTCGCAAATCGAAGTATCGAAAATAGAAAAATTGAAAAATTAAAAAACCCCAAAACTGAAATATTGAGAAATTTAAGCATCTAGGAAAAATTACAGAATCGAAAAATTCAAAAATTCGAAAAATTCAAAAATGGACATATTGAAGAGCTGAAAAATCGAAAAATCGAAACACTTTTGAAAATTGAGAAATTAAAATATCGAAAGACCGAAAATTCAAAAAATCGAGATATCAAGAAATCGAAAACCCAAAATTTAAAAATTCTAAAATCGGAAAACTGATGACGTAATTGAAGAAAAAATCGAAAAATTGAAGTAGAAAAACTGAAAAATCGTGAAAATGGAAAATAAAAAAATCGAAAAGACGAAACGTCAAAAAATCGACAAATCGAAAAGTCGAAAAATCAAAAAATGGATTAATCGAAAAATCGAAAATTTAGAAACGTTAAAAATTGAAAAATTGAAGAATCGAACAGGTGAAAAATCGTAAAACGAAAACATCGGAAAATTGAGAAATTGAAACATGGAAAAATCGAAAAATCAAAAATTTGATGTAACGAGAACTTATAAAATCGAAAAAACGAAAAATACAAAACTGAAGAATGCCAAATGTAAAATATAGAAAAATTGCAACACGAAAAAATCGAGAAATCAAAAATTTGAAAATCGAAAATCTCAACACAAAAATTGGGTAATCGAATTGAAAAATCGAGAAATTGCAAATTCGAAAAACTTAAGAATAAAAAAACTGAAGAATTTCAAATCTGTATTTACGAAAAATTGAGAAATCAAAAGTTGAAAAATCAGGAAATCGAAAATTTGAAAAATTGAGAATTCGAAAAATCGAAAATTTTAAAAATAGAAATATCGAAAAACGGAAAAACCGGGAAGTCGAGAAATCGAGAAATCGAAAAATTGAAAAGCTGGAAATCCAAACATCAAGAAATCGAAAAATTGAAGATTTGCAAATCGAAGCATTGAAAAGTAGAAAAATTGAAAAATTCAAAAATCCCAAAACTGAAATATTGAGAAATTTAAGCATCTAGGAAAAATTACAGAATCGAAAAATTCAAAAATCAAAAATTCAAAAATTCGAAAAATTCAAAAATGGACATTTTGAAGAACTAAAAAACCGAAAAATCGAAACACTAAAAACATCTGAAAATTGAGAAATTAAGAAATCGAAAAGCCAAAAATTCAACAAATTGAGAAAGCAAGGAATCGAAAATCCAAAATTTAAAAATTTGAAAATTGGAAAATTGATGAAAAAATTGAAGAAAAATCGAAAAACTGAAGAACTGAAAAACTGAAAAAACGAAAAATGGGAAAATAAAAAAAAATCGAATAAACGAAACGTGAAAAAATCTAGAAATCGAAAAATCAAAAATTTAGCAACGTTGAAAATTAAATAGATAAAAAATCGAAAAATTGAAGAATCGAACAATTGAAACATCGTGAAGCGAAAACATCGGAAAATTGAGAAATTGAAAAATGAAAAAATCGAGAAATCAAAAATGTGATGAATCGACAAATTAAAAAATTGAAAATTCGAAAATCTTAACACAAAGGTTGAGTAATCGAGTTGAAAAATCGAGAAATTGCAAATTCAAAAAAATTAAGAATAAAAAAAAACTGAAGAATTTCAAATCTGAATTTACGAAAAATTGAAAAATCAAAAGTTGAAAAAATGTTGTATCTATAATTTTGATTTATTCCAAAAATCTCGATGTCTAGGACAAAAATTCAACACGAATTGATAAACCACAAGTTCAATACTGTTACCTTTTAACATTTAAATAATATTTATTGGATAAAATTGTAAGATGACATCAATTTCTGGGGTAAGGGAGCTGAACTAAAAAATTTTGATTAACGATATACTATGCTTCCAATATTCCTAAAATAAAATTTGAAAATATTCGATTTTGCAATTTCAAAGTTGAATTGTAAAATATTGTAAACAATTTTGATTTATGTTTTCTAAAAATATAACCGCCCAAAAGAGAAATTTAACAGGGATTCATAGACCACAAATGGAAGTCGTTCCTTTGTTGGTAAGGACGAGCAGAAAATTTTGTTCATCGTCTTCTTAGCTTACACTCGAGAAGTAAAAATCCACCGATGTTTCAAAATTTTTTGGTCGCTAATTTTTAACAGTTTCTAGAACCAGTAGAAGTTTTTAAACTCCCAAAAATCATGAAATTAGGATATTTAAAAACCCGACCAGGTTAATAATCCGCAAATGTTAACATTTTTTACTCTCCGAAATTTCCAGTATTTTACCATTTTCAAGAATGAATGAAGTCACAAATCAAATTCATCTTCAGTTTTGGCAGCTGATTACGTCACCAAGTTACGTAGGTCGTCTCTTAGAACATGCAAATTGGGTAACTAGGTCAGAATTTCAAAAAATGACCCGCTACTTTTCTAAATTTATACCAAAACTTCAATTCACGAACTTCAAATGGTTCATAATTTACTAAAGTTTTATTACTGCATTGATTTTTTTTAGTGAATATTTGTTCACCATTTTTTTGAGATGACGTCATCAGTTATTTGGAGGAAGTTAGTGTGTTACCAAAAATTAGTGACTTGTACAAATTCTGAATAAATTATCAAGTTGTAGCCCTGTTGAAGAGGATATTAGAAAGCAGAATCGAAAAATTTTTAGGTTTTCAGGTATTCTTTGAGGTTTTCAGATTTTTAAGTTTTTAGATCTTTCGATTTCTCGATTTTTTATGTGGCGATTTTTCGATTTTTCAATTTTTCGATTTTTTAGATTTTACATAAGATGACGTCATCAATTTTTAGGAGAGGATAGACGAATAAATTTTTATTAACTCTTTATCATGATTACAAGAAATTGATTTTGTAGTTTCAAAGTTAAATTGCAAAATGTTGTTACACATTTTTTTTTCTTTAATCTAATCTGGATATCCTATTTTAGTATTTAATGTTGTGGAATCCTGTACACTGAAAGGTAAAAAGGAAGCAGAAATTAAGTAAGAAAATAATGTTATGAATATTTAAAAATAATTGTATACAATCCACTTCAAGACGAACACACAATAAAAGTAAGCCACAAAGTTCCGTTACGTAAAACTCGTGCAAATATTAGATAATATTCACGTTAAAACAATTTTCATCTTTCCATCTATGACGAGAAAGTACCCACTCTACACTATTTTCTCCTTATATGATGATGTACGTTTCAACATATTGAATACAATGAATCAATCTTCACACCAAACCGAGATGCCTGTCAAACTCCAAATAAAAAACGAAGATTTCATCAAGATAGAGAAGACAATCATTCGGAAAAGCGTCTAAACATGTACACAATTCCTTCATTCATTATTCATAACGTTGTAAGAAACCTTTTAAAGTCAAAGCGAACGAAAATATTTCATGAAAGTTTCACGGGCTCCAAACTGTGTTTACTCTAAATCGTTCGATGTAGTTGAGTCAGGTGCGATGAGTTAAATCGTCAGGTGTTTGTTACGAGAGCAGACACTCCACTTTTGGACCAACAAGGTCGATCAATGCGAATAAAAATGTAAAAATTTATTAAAACAGATACAAGTTATTTCCAAGCTACCCTCTCTAAGGCCCATTTCTGTGTTCTGCGTCCTGTGCAGTTGGTGGTGACCAAGCCATCGGTGAAAGTCGCGGAATCCGAAATGTCCAAGCACTTGCGGTTGGTCAAGTGGAGGATTTCTTGCGTCTAGAACAAAAAAGTAGATTAATTCGAGCACGATTTCAACTTAAACGAAGCAAATTTATTGTTGGTGTTCATAAATGTTTGCCACCTTGTTGCGATAGTGGTTGTAACTATTCTTGTTTGTCACTGTCACTGTCAGCGTTGTTCAATTCCGCTTTGGTTTGGTCTTTCTTTTTTAGTTTTTTGTTTCACGCTGATTACGCCTATTGGATAGGCAACCAGGAATGGATTTATATTTCTACATTTTGGAATAATTTTTTGAAAGCGGCAAAATTGATGGACAAACAATCAAACATTTATGAACGCCCAGTATTACGAAAAGAGGGGGTGTCGTACCTCGGCATCATAAATCCACTTCTGTCTATTGTATCCACTGCACGCCATTATTCGTACTTTCGAAGGCCCCAGCACCACTTTCTCGGGAGCGTCTAAACAAATGGAGTCGTCAGTCATGACGAAACCATCCGGAGTCATCACAAACATCTCCAAAGTGAGATCATCCCCAAGACAAGTCTCCAGCTTGGCAATGCCCATGGGTTGGTTACTCACCACCTTCTTCTGTGGCTTAATCAAGCACTTGTTCTCTCCTAAATTCCGAATCCTCCCGAAGAATCGATCGTCTTTTGGGAAAAAGTGCTGCGGCCAGACGTTGTCCAAGTACCACTCGAACCCCTTACACTGATGTTTCTTCCTCAACTCTAACCTCGACGTGACATTCTGCTCTTCTTTAATTTTCCCAGCTGGTTCGTTAAACTTGAAGTAAAACTTCGCCCACTCGTCCATCCACACCAAAGCTACTCTAGCCAAATTCGAAAAGAGCGTCTTGTTAATACCCCCCGGAAACGAATAAGGTGACGACTTCCTAAACAAGTGTCCCACTCTGGAACACGGCGCTATCTGAACCTTCCCCCCGCACTGCCATATCCTAAAAGACATCTCCAGATTCTCCCCTCCCCATATGTTCATCCCGTCGTCGTAGGCACCCATTTCGAAGAAGTACTGTCTATCGATGGCGAATAATCCTCCTGCCATAGTTGGAGTATTGAAAGGTTGCGTAGCGTCGACTTTTCTCTGTTTGAGTTCGCGTCCTCCGAGGGTATACCATCGGAACTGGAGGTTCCAGTTGAAGGCACCCCAGTGGAGTTCAAAGCTTTTGACGTAAGCGAAAGAGTCGTCGTTGATTATGTCTATGACTGGGCAGACGACTGCGGTTCGGTCGCTCTTTATCACAGATAGAAGGGCTTCTAACCAGCCGGTGGTGCACTCGCAGTGGGCGTCCAGGAAGGTTAGAACGGGACCTTTGGCTACCAGGGCTCCTTTCAGTCTTGCTTTGATGAGGCCGATGCGGGTTTTGCTGCGGAGGATTTTCGTGGGTACGGGGAGAGTGGAGATGTAGTCTTCGAGAGGTTTCCGCAGGAATTCTAAAAGGAAAAAAAATGGTTTCTTTTATTTCTTTTAACCATTTTATCAAAATAGATATTCTACAATCAACAATAAATAAATAATTCTCTAATGAATCTCACACAGATTTTCTGAATTTTTTCTAAGTAATTTACTTTTGTCATACTTCGACCGACAAACGCGGACCACATACGTGAGTACAAGTAACAGTGTAAGAACCAAAATGACAGCCTATAAATGAGTCTGACACCCTATAATTTTTTCTCTAGTTGTTTATGACCGAAAAGTTGAAAAATCGAGAAATTTGGAAACTCGGATAACCTAAAAATTTTGACAAAATTCTATGATTAAAATACGAACAATTTTCTGATTATTGAACATTTAAAATTGATTCATTGAAAACCGGGTAACTGAGTAAACTAAACAATGTAAAAATATAAAACTAAAAAATTGAATAACTAAAATGAAAGCATTAAACTGCAAAACAAAAAAATTGCACAAACATTGAAAATCGAATAATTTTAAAATAGAAAAAATACAAAATTGAAAAATCGAAAAATTGCAAAATCAAAAACTTGAATTAAAATCGAAATTTTGAAATATTAAAAATCAAAAAATTGGAAAACCGAAACCATGAAATTCGCACAAATGAACAATTGAAAATTGAATAATTGAAGAAACGAAAAATTTTGAAAACGAAGAATTATAAAACTGAAAATTGAAACATTAATTTATTAAAAACCGGATATTTAAGAAATCAAAAATTCTAAAAATATAAAACTGGAAAATCAAAAAATTGCAAAATTACAAAACTGAAAAATTGGATAATTGTAAAACCGAAAAATTATTAAACTGTAAATCTAAACAGTTGCACAAATATCAAATTGAAAATCGAAACGTTGAAAAACCAAATAATTCTGAAATAGGGAAATTAAAAAAAATGAAGTATAAAATCGAAAAATTCTAAGATTACAAAATTGAAAAGTCGAGAAATTGGAAAATCCGCTGATTGAAAAACCAAAATTTATCAAAACTGGACAATTGAGAAATCTAAACATTGTAAAAATATAAAACTGGAAAATCAAATAAACTGCAAAATTTCAAAATTGGAAACTGAAACATCAGACGACTGTAAAATAGAAAAATTACAATTGAAAAATCGAAAAATTGCAAAATCAAAAACTTGAAGAATTAAAATCGAAATTTTGATAATTAAAAATCAAAAAATTGGTAAACCGAAACCATGAAATTCGCACAAATGAACAATCGAAAATTGAATAATTGAAGAAACGAAAAATTTTGAAAACGAAGAATTATAAAAATGAAAATTGAAACATTGATTTATTAAAAACCGGATATTTAAGAAATCAAAAATTCTAAAAATATAAAATTGGAAAATCAAAAAAATTGCAAAATTACAAAATTGAAAAATTGGATAATTGTAAAACCGAAAAATTATTAAACTATAAATCTAAACAGTTGCACAAATATCAAATTGAAAATCGAAACGTTGAAAAACCAGATAATTCTGAAATAGAGAAATTAAAAAAAATGAAGTATAAAATCGAAAAATTCTAAGATTACAAAATTGAAAAGTCGAGAAATTGGAAAATCCGCTGATTGAAAAACCAAAATTTATCAAAACTGGACAATTGAGAAATCTAAACATTGTAAAAATATAAAACTGGAAAATCAAATAAACTGCAAAATTTCAAAATTGGAAACTGAAAAATCAGACGACTGTAAAATAGAAAAATTACAATTGAAAAATCGAAAAATTGCAAAATCAAAAACTTGAAGAATTAAAATCGAAATTTTGATATATTAAAAATAAAAAAATTGGAAAACCGAAACCATGAAATTCGCACAAATGAACAATCGAAAATTGAATAATTGAAGAAACGAAAAATTTTGAAAACGAAGAATTATAAAAATGAAAATTGAAACATTGATTTATTAAAAACCGGATATTTAAGAAATCAAAAATTCAATGAAGTGAAAAATCAAAAACTCAGAAAATTGGAAATCGAGATTTTTAAATACAAAAATCAAAAAATTAGAAGATCCAAACAATGAAATTCGCATAATTGAAAAGTTGGATATCTTAAAAAACGAAAAATTGTAAAATATTTAAATCGAAAAATTCAAAACTTGAAAAATTAAAACTGAAATTTTGAACAAATAAAAATCAAAAATTTTAAATGAAAAATAGGATAATGGTAAAATCGAAAAATTACAAAATCATAAAATTGAAACATCGGTAAGTTGAAAAATCATGAAATTGAAAAATCTGATAACCGTAAAATCCATAAATTGTGAAACCGAAAAAAATTTAAAATTCAAAACCGGACAATTGAAAAAAATCAAAAAATTACCAAATTATAAAACTAGGAAATCAAAAAATTGCGGAATTGTAAAAATTGAAAAATTAGGTAACTGTAAAAACCAAAAATTATTATTAAACTGCAAAACTGAAAATCGGAAAATTGAAAAATCAACAATTGTTTAATGGAAAAATTACTAAATTTAAAAATCACAAAATTGTGAAATCATGAAAATGAAAAATCAAAAACTTGAAAAATTGAAAACCCAAATTTTGAAAAAGTTTAAAATTGAAAAATTGGAAAATCGGATACTTTCAAAAACGAGAAATTGTAACTAATTAAGTTGATAAATAAAATAATAAAATTAAAAAATTGGATAATTGTAAACTCGGAAATCTATTAAACTGTAAAAACGAACAATTTCTAAATTACTAAAATGAAAAATTGCAAGGTTATGAAATTGTATAATCAAAAACTTGGAAAATCGGAAATTTTGAATAATTAAAAATAAAAAAAGTGAAAATTTATAAAATTACGAAATTGTAAAATTTGATAATGGTAAAATCGAAAAATTACAAAATCGTCAAAACTAAAAAATTCAACAATTGCAAAATTACAAAATTGGAAAATTGCTCTAATGTTATTTAGACAGAACTTTCCTCATCCCTGGAACACAATGCAACAAATCCAGCTTTTTGAAAAATTATAAGACATAATTTTGCAAATTATATATATATATATATATATATATATATTTTTTTTTTTTTTTTTGATGACCCCTATAAGTTAAATAGAGTTGTATATGTAATCTTGAAGACAAGGCAAAGAAGCATGGTATGTGTACATTTCAAGCGAGCGTTTCCACAAAAATTTTTTTTTATTAACGTCTTGAAAATTTTTGCGAGGACACGTACATCAATACGAATAGGTGCAGTGGTATACTAATAATAACAGTATTGACACAGATTTAATGAATAAATTAAATGGATTCATTCATTGATTTTTTGTCACCTGTATAAGCAATTCTAAAAAATATGAACATATGATAAGTCACAAGTATAGACTCAATATTAACCTTACCTTACGCTCAGGAAGTATTTTATTATATTTTATATTTTTTGTCTGTGCCGTCTTTTTCAAATACTACATGCACTACGAACTTGTAGAATTAATAACAGCAACAAACAAGTAAAAGAAGACAAAAAAGACAATCAAGATTTTAATTTTTCAAAATATGTGAAAAACAAAGGCACAACTGATTCATCTATTTCAAACACAGAAGAAATAAATATTTACCTCTTTCGCTAGCATCATCAACCAGGATAATCTCTTCAAGTAGTTCCGGTGGCGATCTATTGATGACACTCCACACTGTCCTGAGCAAAGTGGACCACGCCTCATTGTGAAAAACAACGATAATACTAGTTTTGGGATACGAAGGATAATCCTCGAACAGAGTGGTACACCTACAAGTACCCAGATAAAAAAGGTAAAATTTCGTTCCAACGGTACTAACTTTTTTCGACGAAAGTCCGGCAGACTCCTATTGAGCGGAATTCTGTCACTCGCCAGCAAATTAAAGCGATTAATTTGAAAGTACTGCTGCATTTTTAGTAGATCTTTGGGTTCAATAACCACCGGGTTACCATTTTTGCCGGCTCCTGGTCGGGGGTCGAAGTTGTTTGTGTTTATCATGTCGTAGGTAGCGTTGGGGATTTTGTGAATGGGGTTACCCACATAGTGGCCAACCACGACTCGTATGCCGTTCTTATCGACGTACTCTTCTTGGTTGTTTGACCTAAAAGAAAAATTTTCAAAATTTTGAAATGAAAAACGATGGAACTACGTACCTGTAGATGTGTTTGGGGTGAATTTGCGCATTTTTGTTCAGTTGGTTTAGTCTGTACAGAATTATTATCACAATAGACACGAAGAACAAAATCACAGGATATATGCGTTTACATCTTCGCAAAGGCCCTGGCAGCATAATAGAGCTAAAATCAAAACTAGAACTAAACATTGTGTCTATAATTATTTATAAACATTTTAATCGTGCGAATTAATACAACGAGCGCATAAATCGGTGTTGATAACACTTCACTTTTGACCTTTGCTGGACCCGTAATTTGAAACTCGCGCCTCAGCTGGTAACATCTGCTCCAAGACAGAGATGTCAGCACCCATTCTACTCCGATGTACGCACTTTCACACGAGCATAATGCAATAATAACTGTGATTTATTCCGCGCCATTAAGTCGTTAATAAGACAGATTAATTAAGAGAGGATTGAGAGAATATAAGACTTACTTCATGGGATTAAGCGGCGCATTTCAGTTTTGTTTCACATTGCAGTTTGTAGGTAGTTGTTCAATCAACAGGTAAGTTCTGCTCTGGCCGTGAACTCGTCGGACAAGAGATCTTCCACCTCTACCGTGTTGCTTTACCTTAGAAATCAATTAAAGCGTCTGGTGTTTAAATGCAATAGCGTAGGTGAAACTAGAGAAAGACAAGTGTTTTTTTTTCATTTCGTGTTCAACGAATCGGTAATATTTAATATTTTGCAAATTTCACCGAGGAGAATGCAAAAAGTCGGGACATTTCTAAGCTGTGCATTTGAATGGTGCTGTAATGGTTTCTGGAGTTGAGGTATTTGGTTAAGGAAGGACATACTCTTGGACGCTCGGTCTTCAAAACGGCACCTTCTGCACTCGAAATTTTCTATCAGTTAGGGTAACAAAATATAGATTTTCAAACTTATGTGTGTACTACTTGGCTTGTTATGTAATAAAATTTCTAAAAAAAAAAGACTGGAATTTTATAAATAATAAACAACTTTTTCTGCTTGACTCGTGGCTTTCGACACACTTATAATTTCTGAATTTAAACTGCAAAATTAGGGATTTTCACTACAAAAAAAAAGTAATTTTTACCATATTTACTTTTATTTGATACTGATATTGTTGAAAAATTCGCACAGCTGTTGAAAATCCCAACACATTATTGGTAATTAGTAACATTACCAGATTCAACATCCAAATTTACTATATTTTGTTAATTACCCATACCTACTGAAAATTATAGATCCATTTCGATCAGTTGCAATTTTGCTAAAGTTTCTTAATCGAAAATTTCCAAAAGAATTCATTTCAATATTAGTTGTTACAATACATTAATATTATTCTCTTTCAACATGGATTTGTCGACAAAAAATCTTCACAAGCCTTACAGGAAAGCTAAGTAGACGTCACAACATCGATTTTAACACAACATTTGATCAAATATAGATAATCTTTCTTTTTAAATAGAACTGCAATAATTTGCTTTTTCTCAAGTTGACTAAAAATCCACAAAAAAATCTGGGGTAAAGGAAATATTTTTTTTATCCCAAAACTTACCATAATTCATTAAGAAGATGAGTCCGAAAATATCTTCTGGGAAATTTTCAAAGTGCTCGAAAAAGGGTAGACATTTTTATAAGAGCGGAGTATGGAAAAAATGAGCTTTTAGAAAAGTTGGTTGAAAATCCACAAAAAGCTCTCAAAAGCTCGACGTGCTGATTTGAACAATAAATGATCAATTTTTTTTTATTCTAAAAATCGCCCTATTTCATTGGGCGTCCTGGGAGAATGGTCGGAGTTTTTGAGAAAATGAAGCTAAAAGTAATTTTTGGAGATCTAGATCCACAAAAAAAATCATTAGGTAGCTTTTAAAGGCGGTCGAACAAAGTTCGAAACTTTCAAAAGTCGGGAATACTGAAAATTGAGGTTATGAGAAAGTTACCACCCCGAAAGTTCACAAAAAATTCTTCCAAACAGATCTTGACGTGCTTATTAGACAAATATAGAGTGGTCTAGAAACAAAATTTTTGAATCATTCAACGTGAAAATAATTTTTTTTAAATCCTAAAAATCGTCCTCTTGCATTGGGCGACATTAAGAAAATAAGAATTTTTGAAGAAGTGAGACTGAAAGTAACTTCTGGAGGTCGAAATCTACAAAAAAAAAACTTTAGGTGGATAGTTTTCGAAGGTGGTTAAAAAACTTGCAAAATGTCGTAAAGGGGGAATACTGAAAAATTGAGCTTAGGAAAATGTTACCTAAAAATGCACAAAAAAATGGGATATAGTTCTCGACGTTCTAATTAAAAAAATACAGTGTTTAGGGTCCCGGAGCAAAATTCGGTTTGAAACCATTTTTTTTTTTTTTAATTGGGCGATTCTGGAAAAATGTTCGAGTTCTTGACGAAATGAGCCGAAGTATCTTCTGGGAGCCCAGATCTACAAAATAATCTCTTTAGATCTTTTTCAAAGATCAGTGAAAACAAGTAGAAATTTTCATAAGAAAAAAATTTCATGTGTGGGGGGGGTATTGAAACATTAAATTTTGGAAAAGTAGTCTAAAAATCGACAAATTTGGGAAATAAATCTCGACATTCTAATTCGAGAAATGTAGTGTTTAGGATCCCGGAGCAAAGAATTTGAAAGAATCTTGGGAGTCGAGTTCCTTATGTTTTTTTTTACGAATGTGCAAAAATCTTCAGAATCCCTTGTATTTCAATCTTGAAAGAGTTTGAGCAAATTTCGGGTCTCCCGTGTGATTTTTTTTTTTTTTGAAAATGTTTTGTTGAGTTTTTGAAAGAATTTGGAAGTGTTCATTCCTTACGGTTTTTTTTAAAGAATGTGAAAGAATGTTGGGGGGGGAGGTTTAATGTGAAAGAATCTTGGGGTGATTTTAATGTTAAAGAATCTTCGGGACCTCTTGTGTTTCATTCTCGGAAGAATTTAAAAGAATTTTGGGTCCCTTGGTGTTTTTCGAAGAATGCAAAAAAATCTTCGAATCCCCATTTATTTTGTTCTTGAAGGAGTTTGCAAAAATCTTAGGGGCCTCTAGTGTGCTTTTTTCAAAATGTCGGAATTCCTCCTATTTTGTTTATGAAAGAATCTTGGTGATCCTAGTGTATTTTTTTAATATAGAAACATATAGACCCTTTTGTGTTTTTTTTTTTTCGTGAAATAGTTTGAAAATATCTGGAGGCGCCAAATGTCTTTTTTAAGAAAGTAAAAGAACTTTCGGAAACCCTTATTTTTTATTCTTGGAAGAGTTTAAAATAATCTTGAGGACCTTCAGTGTCATTCTTTTGAAAATGTGCATTGTTAGAATCCCCAAGAGTCCTTTTTTTAAACGATATGAAAGAATCTTGGAGGCTCCTGGTGTCTTTTTAAAAGATAAAAGAATCCCTGTAACCCCTTCTATTTTATTCCTGAAAGAGTTTGAAAGTATCTCACGGGTTGCTGGTGTCTTTTTAAAATGCAAACAAATCTTCGCAACCCCTTCATTGTTCTTGAATACTTTGAAGGAATCGTGGAGGTCTCTAGTATTTTTTTAAGAACGTAATAGAATCTTGGAAACCTCTTTTATTTTGCTCATGAAAGAATTTTGAGGGCTTTTGGTCTTAGAAACTAAATTGATTTTATTCCTGAAATGGTTTTAAAGAATCTTCGGGACAGGTAGTAATTTTTTAGAAATGTGAAGGAATAGTCGGAATTCCTTCTATTTTGTTTTTAAAAGAGTATTAGCATCCCCTTGTTTTTTTGTATGTTTTTAAGAATTCTTGAAGAATTAATAAAAAAGAACATTCGAAACCTCATTAATTTTATTTTTAAAAGTATCTTCTGAGGGTCCAGAACTACAAAAATAAATTCCATAGATCACTTTCAAAAGTGATCGAAAAAGGGTAGAAATTTTCATAAGGGGAAAGTATTGAAACATTTAGCTTTTGGAAAAGTTGTCTAAAAATCGACAAAAAAATCTAGAATGTAGTTCTCGACGTTCTAATTCGAAAAATATAGGTTTAGGGTCGCGGATAAAATTTTAGTAGTATTCAATTTTAAAAACAAAATAGTAAAAATTGCGATGATTCATTGGACGATTCTGGAAAAAGGAGGTCCAAAAACGGGCAAAACTTTTATGAGGAGGGAGTTCTAAAAAATTGAGTTTATGGAAAAGTTACATAAAAATCTACAGAAAATTGTGGGGTACAAGGTACCGATCTCAACGTGCTAATACGAGAAACAGTGTTTATGATCCCTGTTGTTTTTCTTTTTTAATCGTAAAAATTGGCATATTTCACTGGACGATTCTGGAAAACTACTAGGAAGTTTCGAAAAAATCAAGCCGAAAATATCTTCTAAAGGTCGACATCTACCAAGAAACATTTGTGGATGTTTTTCGAAGTTGATCCAAATTTTCACCCTCTTGACGTACTTTACGTTCTTGCAAACATTTTAAATTTATCATAGATATAGCAAATGGTTGATCAAAATAAATTTATCTCCTCCTAAAAAGTTGAGACGCCATCTAAACACTTTGCCGAATGAATCCTATCTAAATTTTGCACAATATCATGACTCTATACTTTTCGTTTATCAATTCTGGGTATAGAATATAGCATTCCAAATTGATTGATTGTCCCTATTTCAAAATTGACGTTATCAAAAATTTTGTTAAAAAAATTGACCTATGAACATGCTGGCTGCTTTATGATAAAAAATAAAATTCCCGGAATCGCATTTTACGATTTATCTAAGACCCAGGATTCCTTTAATTGTATTTCATCGACAAGGAAAGTCCTGTCCCATTGACGAAGATTTCTTTGTAATCTTTAGACAGTCACTATATAAAATTTGTAAAATTTGTCTGTCCAGCACTTTTTTTTAAATAATAAAAAAAATGATTTCGAGTTCACTATGACGAACTTACGAGATACAAGAGCCAAAATCTCACAAATCCACCTTCCATACTTATAGTACGTTGAGTACTATAAGTATGGAAGGAAGAATATACTACCGAAGGAACAACCTCTTGGTGACAGAAAAGTATCTAAGAACTAATAAGCTTTCTATTTCTGTAGACTTGTTAAATTAATTTCGGATGTTCAATCACTGTTTTCCTTTTACCAAACCAAAATGAAATTTGCGAAATTTAAAAAACAACTACACTGTTTAGATTCTATAGTTAAAATTATAAAAAAAAAACAACTAGGTGTCCTAATAAGTAACTCTGATGATAACTTTAAAGAGCTTTGTTTATAAGTCAATAAGAAATACATATCAACAATCACTAGACACATTATTATAAAGAAATTAATAATTCCTTAAACAAGTCAAACCAGTAACACCAAAGCTAGGCATTCCTCAAGACAGTATACTTGGCTCACTATTTTTGTTATTATATCTAAATGATCTGTCACTTTCCATTAGCAGTCAAACAAGCATTCATCTTACAAATTACACCGATCACACTAGACTACGTATAAAAAGCGATTCTCCAGAACAACTATTAAGTGAAATAACGGCAACAATCGATGCATATTTTGCAAGTAATAATTTGACAATGAATTCGGTGTTAATATTATTCCAAATACAATTTTTTAGGTATTTACGTAGATCAGAAGTTGAACTCGCATGAATATGCATGCAGTGCAATGAAAAACTATAAAAATTTAAAGTAAATATTTTGATCCTAAAAAACTAATAGTTGTATATTTTTTAACTACTTGAGACAGTTCTCAAAAGGCAAAAGAAAGTACTAAAAAGAAAATATGAAGAATAACTTGAAAAAGAATAATCGCTTTTCATGTAGAGGAATTGTTAGCAACTACAATCTGTGGTAGGTAGTATTATTTTCTAAATTATAACAAAAGCCATGAACACGACATGAAAAGAATTGCTTTTATAGAACCTTAAATCTTACAATCATTTACGTATTAATAAAAAAATTTAATAATGTTTTGCATATAAAGCGAAATAATGCGGATATCTTCAGACTTGAGTATTATTTATTTGTTTATTTATGTTTCCAATTTATGTAACAACAATTTTCTTGCAAAATCGAGAAGTGTCAAGTAAATATTTCAAAATTTCAAGTGCAGCACCGAATTTTATTAATACAACATTGCAATGCTGACTAAAGCTATAAATTGGTGATAAATTGTACCCACAAGGAGTTAATCGGTTTTACATTGCAGCTGTTGAACGTGAGAAAAATAATAATTCGTACGTTGTACATATACGTCACACAAGAAACAAAAAATATTTCCAAGAACAAAAATTATAAGAGAGAGATTTGGCTTTTGTAAACTCGTGAGTTTTACCAAACATCAGTTATTTAAAAACTTATTTTAGCTCTTAACACAACATCTGCTTTTAATCTTTGAGTTGAGATTTTACAGTAGATTTTGAATGGAGGTTTTATCTGGATTTTACGTAGCCACAGTAATTATAACATAAAATTTGCATATTTATTTATTACAACTAAGATAGGTAGTCCTTGAAGCTAGAAATATTCCAGGCTTTAGGCTTTAAATAAACCGATGTCTAGTAAATAGGTACATACTCATTTTAAAGATTTAGCATTTGATTCAAGGAACAGAACCAAAAATGGGTTCTGGGCGAAAACAGTTTAGTGTCGAACTTGGTTTGATATGTTTTTAAGTATGTTAATTTAGGAAAAGCATGCATATGCATAGGCGGCGATAAATAAAAAGCGGTTTTCATATTAATAAACTCTTTATTGATTTATATAAATAGTTCCTAGTTAAATGAGAGGCTAGGACTAGCTATAACATAGATACAAGGAGTTTGTCTTTGTACAATTATACATATACGTGGAAGTATAGACGTATGAGATAATAATAAACAATAGCATCATATGATATGAATAACATTTGATATTATTAGTCTTTCCAACATTTTCAAATGTTCAACAACAGCTTGGCATTAATTTTGAAAATGGCAGTTAAAATTTGGTCTTTTAGTGTCTCGCTAACAACTATTATAGATTTCTGATAAATACTATTTCTGCCAACAGTACCTTCTAAATCATCGTGCGGTAACAATGTATAAAAACGATCTGTTTGCTAACAATTATAAGCCAACTGTCTGTTAGAATTTTCACGTTTAGAATTGGTCCAAAGTAATAAAATTTACGTTTATATACAAGAACTTAATTTAAAAAAAGTAAGAAAGGCAAATATTCGCAGAAAGTTTATTTATATGGTTATATTACAGCCCGCGGTCACGATTAAAACCGTTTTAATAAATATATTATATCTGTACAAGTTATAAAAGCTGTGATCTTAATGCGTGACGCTAGGGCATTCGCTTTGACTAAGTGTTTGAACACTTGATTGGTAATCATACATATCAGGTAATGTCTCGCTTGTTAAAACTTAAATTACACAAAAATAAACATACTTAGATTTAAATATAGTTTTAAAAAATGCAATAGTTACCTTTGTGTAGTGATGTACTTATAATCGTAAACATAACAAAAATATACATTTGAGTATTTGGAAATTTACGAAGATCTACAGTCACGCACCGGCCCAAGCTACCAGACACTCTCTTTGCGATATTCTTCCGTCATTATTGCTCGAAAGGAAAATTTTGTCGTGCGAATCGGGTCAAATTTATTTACAATTAAGTACCAATAAAGTCGACGCCGTCGGAACGTTTGCGTTGTAGACCTCGCAAATTTCCTAAACGGATGTAAAGACGTGCAATGCAATCGAAGAACTGCATGACTCTTTGCACCACAACACAAACTCTTATCAACGTTATCACGCCTCGCAGAACGCAGTGCACTTCTCTTAATACATGAACGGTTTAAATCTGGCAGTTGCCGTAGCTGGTTGTCGATACTTGGCACATCGAATACTAAAACGAAAAGAAACCAAGGCACTGTGCAAACACACTCCCTCCTCACTTGAAATAAAAATAATAAGCCGATAACCTGTCGTTATTACAAAGAATTCTACAGCCAGATCATCACGACGAAATTCTTCATACTAAAAACAAGTTGGAATGAACGATTAAAATTAAGAACTTAACGTAAAAGTAACACGAATGAGTTACATTGAAGCACAGCCTGTTCATAAAAAAATTAACCGCAGTCACAACTGTCCGTTTAGCGGCGCCCGAACCGAAACGCCTAAGTTTTGATTTTTGTCGTCTGCACGACTAATATCTATCGTATTACATTATGTATATTTTTTTATCACAATTTTATGATACAAGAATTCGTTTAGGGTCACTTGGGAGCTTTGAAATAGCGCAGTACGATGTAGCCTAGGATACGAAAGACGAGTAAGAAGGCTAGCAAGACGAACGTGTTCGCCCATAAAGGAAGGTACGATCCCTGAGCCTCCAATATGGCCGAGACGGGGATGTGCTCCGAATCGGTGCAAACCTTGAACTTGGACTGCTGCGCACATCTGCAAAAAAAAAATTGTCGAAAATTAGTCTTACACTAACAATTTTTACGATTTTTGTTTATTCAGTTTTTAGATTTGCCATTTCTCGAGCTTTTCATTTTTCAATTATTGAATTTTAAAATCCTTTTATGTTTTCAATTTTTAGTTTTTCAATGTTTCAACTTTTCGTTACGTTACGATTTTTTTTTTCAGAACAAATTTTTTTCAGTTTCCGTTTCTTCAGTTTTTCGATTTGCAATTTCTCAATTTTTGATTTTTTTATTCCTTCAATTTTACGACATGCAATTCTTCGAATTTTCATTTTTAAATTTTTCAGTTTTTCGAATTTCCAACTTTTGTATCTTTCAGTTTTTAGACTGCAATTTTACGGGTTTTCAATTTTGCATTTTTCAATTTTTCAACTTTTAAATTTTTAATTTTTGTTTTTTTCTGTTTCTCGATTTTATATTTTTCGTTTCTTCAATTTTTCATTTTTCAGTTTGTCGATAGTTAATTTTTCAATTTTTCGATCTTCCAACAATATCACAGTTTTTCGATTTTCCAATTTTGACGATTCTAAAATTTTTAGGTTTTCCAATTTTTCGAGTCAATTCTTTTTTTCTTCTTTCCAATTTCACGATTCAATAATTTTTTTCGATTTTTAAGTTTCTCGATTTATAGTTTTTTAATGATTCAATTTTTTGTTTCTTCAGTTTTTCCGATTTTTTAGTTTATGAATTTTTCAATTTCTGGAGTCAAAAAAAGCAAAAATTGTAAAATTGTAAAATCAAATATGAAAATAGGAGAAAGTATAAAATGAAAACTTTGAAAAATCTAAAAATTGGAAATCAAGAACTTGAAAAATTGAAGAAACTAAAATCAACAAGCGCTTTCGAGAAAATGGAGTGAGCCTTTCTTGATTTTATTCAATGCACTGAATGTCTCTTTTTTTTTGAGTCACTCTGCATAAATAATGCTAAAATCTATAAGTGCACTGATAAACCACAATTACAAAGTCATAACATTTTGCATTTTTCAGAGGATTTATTCGTCAAAATTTTGAAATGGGATGAACGAACAAATTTTGATTAATTATCGTCCAAAAGATTCGATTACAATACTTCGTTAGTTTAAGCTCAGAAATTAACAAACCAAGCAAAGGCGAGAAATTAAGGTGTCGACGACTCGAAACACCGTCGGCTTGTGAAAATAAACGAATCGCCGATATTTTACATACATATTCTTAAAATTCCGAAAATTCTTTTGAAGCGAGATCCTAACACCTTGAAAATACATTTTCAATACATTACACAAAGTTAGTTTTCGATGGTTGGCCCGAACTTACAGTATCGGCAGTCCCTCGCTGAACTCGACGATCTGCATGTTCTGGTACGCGTAGTGCACCATCGACATGTACTTCATCCAAGTCAGCCAGACCGGTATGTTGGTGGCAAGGTAACCTCCGAAAAGCTGTGTCGCCAGCGTGTAGAGGGCGCTGATTGTGATGCTCACTTGCATGTCCATACAACAGGCTCCGATGAAGAAGCCCACACTTTGTGCAACTATTGTATTCAACAACAAGAAGCCCAAAAGGGTGAGAAACACGAAGGGTGAATGAAAACCTGGAAAAAGGTATTAGTTTCGAGCCGACTCGACTTCCGCACGACCTACCTAACATAGGATATGAGATAAGGTGGTAGACCGCCGGTAGGGTGATGGTCAAGGGTAACTCCCCTATCATTTTGGCTAGATAGTACGCCGATAACCGATACGCCCCTGATTGTCTCTCTTTGTTGATGACCTCGCGTTCTGGGGGGACTAGATTAACTGGGTTAGCATTGAGGCCAGTCGAGTCTGAGGAGACTTACAAGAACTGAGCGCTCCGAAGTGGGCGAACAGCATCCAGTACGTCGTCGAGAAGAACATCCAGCCTTGAATGTCGTGCAGAGCCTCTTCGCGTCGCTCCAGCTGGAACCACAGCAGTCCAGCCAATAAACCTAAACCTATAGTTTGTACCCAGTTAAGTTTCGACAACATCCTAGGCCGCGCCTCTTGGAAGTTCCTCTGCGACAATACTTTGAACTGCGTCCAGAAGCTCGTAGGCCACGAGAAGTAACAGTCTGCGTCGCTCGTTTCCGAACTAACCGACGACGACGCGTGGGAATGGGTATCCAGCCAAAGTCTTCGCACGTCCGGCTCCATCGAGTTTATCGTATCTTCTGGAAAAAGTCGTCAGACTTCACTGGGACACCCGACGAGATTATCTACTTACGTTCTAAGCTTGGGTACGGTCCGTGCGTTGCGGGTAGGATTTTGGTGGCGTGATGGTCGCTGTATTTGTCGGTGATGTACGAACAGTCGGTCTGGAGTTCGATGGGGTAGTCCTTGCTCTTGCGAGCTTCCCGAGCTGCCGTTATTATCCTTTGCCTCACGTCGTTTGTTCCTTTTATTTGTTCCACTGCGAGAAAATCATCCGTCAACGAAGAACAAAATCACCCCAACAAGCTACTTACATATAAAATCGGCAGGATTGTAATGTGGCATGATATTCAGTCCGATATTACTAAAAAAGTCCACAACTTTGCAAGTGTCCCCAAAATACGCCGTCTGTCCGTTACACAAAAGCAACAACTTATCACACAAATGGAAAATCTGTGACGAGGGCTGATGCAGGGTGATCACCACCGTCTTCCCCTCCGTCACCGCGTACCTCTTCAGCGTCGTCATCAAACTGTGCGCCGCATGCGAATCCAACCCAGACGTAGGTTCCTGCAACACCCACAATTACACCCTTCCGAGAGCACGCTTCGAACCTACATCCAGAAGCATCAACGACGGATTGGTCAACAATTCACACGCGATATTCGCTCTCTTCTTCTCGCCGCCGCTCAGACCCCGCTTGATGTAGTCCCCGATGATGGTGTCTTGACAGTTCTGCAGCTCGAGCACGTCGATGATGTGATCCACGTACTGCATCTTCTGCGAATGGCTCATGGTGTCGGGCAATCTCAGTCTTGCGGTGTACTCCAGGGTCTGGCGGAGGGTTAGGTCGGGAAAGAAGATGTCCTGCTGGAGGACGTAGCAGATTTTGCGCTTCCAGCGTTTGCACAGGAGGTCCCTGTTGAAGAAGATCTGGCCAGAGTCGAGTTTCAACCGCCCGCTGAGGCAGTTGAGGAGGGTGGTCTTGCCGCAACCGGAGGGACCCATGACGGCGAGGATCTGTCCGGGACGAACCAGACCGTCCACTTCTTGGAGGATCTGGCGGGAGGCGGCGGAGACGGTGAGGCCTCGGAAGGCCAGGTGGATGGGGAGGGGCCGGTGATCTGTGATGAGGCATGGGAAATGGACCGTTGTTGTATCTACCCTGGAAAAGAAAAGCCACTATTAACGAACTGAAAACAGTGTTCTTCAGTAACGATTTAACATTGCATTTATTCGAATTAGCGAGTTCTAAAACTAGTTATTATTAATTACTCCCATATAACGTTGCAAGTACTTCAAAAACAAGACAAGGGATCCCAGAGATTCTTGAAAACTATTAAAAATCAAGAAACTGAGCAAAAATTTTAAATGAAATAAACAATTTCTGTATACATCAGTGCAATTCTCATATTAAACAAAATAATTGTACGAAAAAAATCTAATTGACGTCTTTCTCCTCAAAAAGTCTCTTTATGCCACCCGTAACAAATCTAGAAGTATTCAATGTAATAAAAAACTAAAAAATACATTCACTTGGAGATTATGTTCCTGTTAAAGTACTAAAATTTGTCGCTGAAGAAATATCTAATACTCTGTCAGATATAATTAATGAAACAATTTCTTGTGGCGTTTCAAAAACTAGAAAGAGCAGAAATTACCCCCTTTTACAAGAAAGGATCTAGAATGAATTATAATTAAACATGTTTTCAGTTTCTTGTTATGGGGAAAAAACAATATATATATTAAGAAGAAAAAAAATGCAAAACATAACCCCACCCACCCACCCTATCTCAACTGTGATGCTTTTTCTTTATTCGTCGTTAGTCAATGGGGGCGGGGCTTAACTGCAAAATCCGCATTTTTCTACAAGAATTACCATGTGAAACATGTTCTTCAGTGATGGCTCAGAGAAAACTATATGTATGAAGTAAAAAAAAAACAAAAGATAAGCCCTTCTGGATCTCAATCGTGATGAATTTTCCATTCGTTGTCAGACTGAGGGGCGGAGCGTAATTACAAAAAATTTTAAGCATGTCAGAAAACATCGATTTTGCAATTAAGTTCCGCCTCTCGGTCTGACAACGAATGAAAAATTCATCACAATTGAGAGGGGGGCGGGTGGGTGGGACTATTTTTTGATTTTTTTCTTAACATGCCACTTGTTTCTTTTATTTAATACAACCCCTGTAACTTTTTTTATTATTTTAACTACATTATCATCAATAAATATGAATCTTTGGTCTATTTTACTGAATAACTTTTTAAAATATTGGTTGCTTTTGATATTTTAGAAAAATCAATCTTTCCAAAAAATATATCTAGTGAAGTTGACGTGATTTCCAGTTCTACCAAAACTGATAATAAAAATGTAAGGTTTCCATCACATAGATCTTTTAAAATGATACAAATTTGCTCAAAGAACTACAGCTTTATCTTTAAGAATAAAAAAGTTACAGGGGTTGAATCAAATAAAAGAAAGACCCTGTATATAGTTTTCTTTGAACAACATGTTATTTAAAAACACGTTTCACATAGTAGTTTCTTGTAGAAAAATAAGCATTTTGCAATAAACTCCATCCTTCGGCTCACAACGAATAAAAACGTTATCACAATTTTAAACATGTTTTCAGTTTCTTGTTATGGAGAAAAAACAAAATATATTAAGAAGAAGAAAAAAGGAAAACATAAGCCCCACCCACCCACCCTATCTCCGTTGTGACGCTATTTCTTTGTTCGTCGTTAGTCAATGGAGGCGGAGCTTAACTGCAAAATCCGTATTTTTTTACAAGAATTATCATGTGAAACATGTTCTTCAGTGATGACTCAGAGAAAACTATATGTATGAAGTACAAAAAAAAGCCCCAGCCATCCCTCTGGATCTCAGTCGTGATGAATTTTCCATTCGTTGTCAGACTGTGGGGCACCTTTTTGCCAAAAAACAAAATGTATATATTTAATTAATGTTAATAATAATTATTATTAATTAATGACCAAAATGGATACCGAAAAAATAAATCTATATAAAGGGCAATATATCAGGGATTATCAAAAATAGTACAATCATCGAATGATAACTTAAAGACTGCAATGGTGTGCCTAGATCTATCTAAAGCGTTTGATTGTGTCACTCATCAAATATTAACCAACAGAATGCAGTACGCTGCAGATTATATTGCAGGCAAAAGAATCAAATCAAATAAAGTAATTGGTATTAAAGGAGCACCACAAGGGTCAATCTTGGACCTTTTACTCTCTATGATTTACGTGAAAGACGTTACATAAGATGACAATCAACATAAAGTATTATTTGCTGATGATACGAGTATTACAGAGCTGCATTGGGTCTTGAAAAAGCTGAAAAGAGGTTTGAATCAATGACCTAAAATTAAAATAAATCAATGATTTTTAATTCTAAATTTAAAAATATAAATTTAGACAGCAGTGTTCAAACTTAGATCCTCAGTGACTCATTTCAACAAATTCAACTAAATTCTTAGAAGTTTTTGTTGACAATATATCAGCTAACATCGCAAAATACTGACTTGCCTTAAAAACTATTTGTTCTTCAAAAGTGCTATAGCGTACATATAAAACTCATTGCTGCGCCAAAAATGTTGTTGTTAATGCTGTGTTTGAATTGAATTTGTTTCAGGGGCTTAACAACCGCTGAAGTCGGCGTCAGGGTGCGCGTTCCCTCCATATCTTCGTCCACATCGCCAATAGACCCTTACAAATTGTGTAATGATACGTTTAAGCTATTTTCGTACGGATTTCCTGATTTATTACCGCGGAACGTGTATTTACGTCTGCTTTATAGTTGGATAACTCCCAAAGAGGCCATATTTCTTGGGATATTGTCTCCGACAAGGTCGGAATCATTTCAAAAATTGCCATTTGCAATGTGATCACTGAAATTAGATGGCATGTAACGAGTCGGTTTCACAGACATTTTACTCGTTAATTATCGAGTGATTCTTCCCACAACGAAGGTCACAAATATTGTGGAAATATAAAATCGTTACAGGATGTTGTTAGCTCGTATCGCATCTAGGAAATTTACGGCTGCAGCAGTCGTAATTAGCCGATTCTGCCGAGTTTAATGTTTGTGTCAAGTCTGGCGTAATGAGAGGCTAATTTTTCTTTCTCGAAGACGAGTCCGATAGAGTAGGTGGCGTTGCCGGAGAGGAGTCATTTTGACGACGCAATTAACACTTGGTGGTACCATCAAGAAACGGAGTAATGGGTTGTCGAAAATTTAAGTGTGTCGCCACTCCATTTAGTAGCTGTTTGCTTACGATTATCCGAGATACCGTAACGCATTATACCCCGATGAAATAAAGTAAGGCGCATTTATCTTTGCAATTAGATTCTTTTAAAGCTGGTGGTCGGCGTTTGGGTTCGAACGCCGCATCCAAACAAATTAATTTTTATACGGTAATTTACCGCACATGGTCGAAAACTGTCGTTAAAAAATTCAAATTTATTCGCGACGATGGATGGTAAATCCGGACATTTCGACGAAAATAGACCACTTAACCTTGGAAGAACCATTCTGGATGGTTTATGTTAACAAACCAAGACGTACATACGCTAACGACATTCACAAGGTAAGTAGTTCATTCTCCTTACATGTTAAAGAGAATGTTCCATGCCAGTTCGGAGTTATGGCATCCTTAAAAGGGGATCCTTTTCGAAAAAAGGAAGGTTGGTGGGTTCCAGGAGAACGACCAGTCGGACGATTGAAACGTCTGCCTCCCGTTATCAATCGGCGAACCCCTTCCGACCCACTCTTATCAATAATTATCTCGGCACGAGCCCAATTTCCGCACGTGACCTACCATCGAAAAACGCCCAGCGCTTCGAAAACAAGTTTATTAATTATGTTCCCTTGTTTCCCGGCGATTTCATTAAGTCGCCCAGCATTCGTTTAGTGTGTAATGTGTATTTGTTCAGTGCGTTGCACCGGGAGGTCACCAGAGTTCATAAAGGTCACGTGTTGGAGCCGACCCAACATCGATCCCTAGACCAGCATCAGACTAGCGAGCGAACAACCGAAAAATATACACGGATTACGTAATGAACTAGCAAGTACCCATGGCTCCCGAGGGTCCCACTCTCCCCATCGCGCTTAATTAGAAAACAAAGAAACAAGAGAACCGCATTACGAGAGCTCTCTGTTAATTATCCCCGGTGCACCGGTTATTTTAGCCCTTTTGCTCCGGGGTGAGGTGAGTGCATTTTAATTTTTTTTTTTTTTTTTGCAGAACAGACGGTCGAGAATTATCGGAAAACAATTTCTGTAATGAAGGCTATGATTGATCGTGTTTGCGGAGCCTTGGGGGGAGGGCGGGGGGTTCAAGGTTGGGGTTTGATTAGGTGAGCGAAATTGTGCGTTTGAGTAATTAAAATGGATAAGGTATGAGTTAATTAATGCTGAATTAAGTTCGATAAATGTACGACTTGAGATGGCGTAAGAAGTAAACCGGTAGCCGGGAGCCGAGTTCCTTCAACTTTTTCTGGACGGGCTCAGGGGTTATCGGAGTTTTCTCGCGTGATTTCTTCCGGTGATAAAAAATTACCACTGAATAAATAAAACCGAAAGTTCTAACTCCGTTATATCTTTTTGTGATGGAGGAACTAAACGTGTAGTTGTTGTTTTCGGTGCATTTTTTTGAAAATTCTAACATTTTTCCCAAAATGGATGAAATGAAAAATCAACATGTAAAAAAAATGAATTTTGGCAAATTTTTCGAAAATCTTGGTCCAGGACCATCAATAACTCACACTTTTCGGATCAGCTCATCGAAATATATCTCCCGAAATTTTTTGACGATTTTTAGGCAAGTTTTCCAAAAATCTTGGTTGATCAATGCTCCTTAGCACCATTGGAAAATTAGCTTGACATTTTCTTATAGATTTCGATTTATAGTTATTTTCGGCTTCATTCTTTCGAAAATTCCAACAATTTTGCCACAATCGATGCAATGGGAAATGTCAATTTTGGAGATGGATACTCAAAGAATTTCATTTTCAAACCTTGGTTCGGGACCTTAAACAAATTATGTTTTTTTAATCTCTTCTTCAAAATATATTTATCACAATTTTTGAGGATTTTTAGTCAATTTTACAAAAGTCGTAATTTTTCAACAACTAGCATCCTAC